ATGTAAAGTTCACCAGTTTTAAATGTCGTGAGAGAGCAAAATTTCATAAGATGATTCGTCAAAATAACCAAAAGGTTAGGGAACTCATCCTTGAAATATAGAAACAAGTTGCCAACTGCAATTTTGGTGACCAACTTCATGTGCAGCTGAAGGATCGATTAATTGCAGAAATTAATATACCAGTTCTGAAAAGAGAGCTGTTAAGAATGCCGAACTGTTCTTTTCAGGATGCTAGAACTACATGTATTAACTACGAATCAGTGAATGAACTTGATACCCAGTCGATGAACATTTCTAGTGCTTTCCTCAGTCATCATAATGAAATACGATCTCAGGATCAATCAAACTTGCGTTTGTTTAATAGTAATTCCTATTCTCGTGGGAATATGAAATTAGATCAACAAGGAATTGCAAAGCAAACCACAAGGGTGGGAGCGAGTTTGGTAAATGTTTATCCTGTGGCAAATTTCATTCACGTAATTCATGTGCATCTCATAATGTTAAATGTATTAAATGTGTTAAGATAGGACACATTCAGTCAGTATGCAAAACTACTGTTCATTTTACTTCAAGTCGTATTGAACTTTGTAATTTAGATCCCATTAAGTCGGCTGCTCCTAATGATCATTTATCTTTATCCACCATTTTTAAAGGTAATGTTCATATTCAAAAGCGATAATACACATCGCTTAATTCATTTCATGACATTTTTGTGGAAACAGGCAGTATGGAGTTCATTATTTCATTCAACAACTTAAAATCTTTGGGTCTTAACGTTGTGATACGACTAACTGTAGTTTCAATATTGGGGATTACTGGACACAAACTGCCCATACGAGAATGTTGTGAATTGATAATAAGAGATGATATTTTTTCATACATAGCCTGTGAGTTTCTAGTTAGCGAAACAGAACTGTCAATACTGGGTTTGAAAAATTTGAAAAGACTTAAAGTGGAGTTATCTTTACTAGTTTCTAAAGAAAATTCTGATGCTTTACTTAAAGATATGATAGCTACCTGTGCTGAGTGTAATGTAGGTATGAAATTTCGTCCTATAAAACTTTGAGTGTAGGGTGATCGAGTCATTTTTCAAAGACGTATATTTCCATATGGTCTTTGAGAAAACAGTACATAAGACATTGAACGATTTATGTGCGAAAGGTATAATTGAACCGATTCTATCTTATTGTTACACCATTGAAGTCGAATAGCAAGACCCTTGAAATATGTGGTGACCATATATTAATACTGAATTCCCGTTTGTTGAAGCAAACATGCACGACGGTGGAGGCTGAAGGTATTTGAAATCGACTTCATGATTCTAAAGTGTTCACGAAAATTGACTTAAAAGTTGCTTATCTCCAAATCCCTTTAGATCAATCTTCATCTATTTTGACGACAATTAACACCTTTTGGTACGTTCAAATACATCTTCCTTCCATTTGGTCTAAGTTGTTCTCCAACTTCGAAGTGGACTACATGGCCAGTATCGTCTGAAGTCTGGCAGAGAATTCATACAGACTATTGTGGTCCATTTCTTGACAAATACTACACACTTGCAGTCAGTGATTCTCTTTAGAAGTGACCTGAAGTTTTTTTCAAAGCCGCCAAATTTTGACCTCACAATCCAAGCATTAATAAGGGTTTTTAGTCAAGAAGAGGTTTCTAAGGTGTTAGTGACTGATAATGGCTCTCATTTTGCTACGGATGCAGTCACTACCTAGTTGAATGGTATAGGGTGAGGCCGAAAACTTCAGTTTTATTTTTCTAGGATTCTCTCAGAGCTGGATGGATTATTTTTTCTCGGAATTATGCAAGATAACTCAATTCTGAACTATCAACATATAAACTGTGAATTTCATGCTATATGATAAGACCTGAGTTTAACTTATTCATGGTATTTATGATCATTTTCATACAAGAATTCATCATCATATAATTACATATATTCATTTTGGCTATACGATAGAACCGTGCTCTGTCATTTTTAAAACCATATATAATCATATTCGACGAAGAAATTGCATATCATATCTGTATTCTATTCCTTAAGGAATATATAATTATATAGTGTTTTGATGCTATAACCCACGTACTTTATGAATTTACAGGATCTATTCAGACCTCTACCTGATATTAAGAAATATATATAATCGTGTATGATAAAACATTGTACTCACTATTTTATGAATTATCATTATAGCTACTCTAAACCTGTGAATGTAACCAGTGAGGTTATACAAAGAAGTGTGATTGGTCCATTACTCTTTCTCCTTTTTATCAATGACTTGTGTTTCCTCTTTCAGTATGATAAACCTTTCCTTTTTGCCAATGACCTAAAAGTAGTTTATTCATTCTCTTCTTCCACCAAAGAAAGCTATATTTCAGCGGTAATCCAAGAAGAAATAAACAACTTATACGAATGAACTGTTTCGTGGAATTTGCCACTTAATGTTGACAAAAGTGGATTTATTGACATTGGCCGCTGCCTTAACCTAAATCTGGCTATACAAAAACGTACACTGAAAACTCTTGTAGTGACTCACTTTTATCACGAGAACACGACTGGTTTATTGAAAACAATTATTATTATTATAACCAATTGTACCAGTGACTTTTAATGTGCTTTTGTTTAACTGTGCTAAAAACATCCATTATTCTTACACTTTGATTGTGAACTCGCACGGATTCGGTTACGTTCTGTAACCAAGCTTGTATCCTGGCACGATCTCGGTATCCTTTCGATACCACGAGATCACCAGCAAATATATCTCGACTTGGTCCATTAAATGCCTTCTGATATTTGGCTTCCCGGGGATTTTATGGATTTATTTGGCACGTGTTTCTCTGTAGCGGTGTTCATAGTCAACCGCGACTCGACACCACGCTACACTCTTAACACTGTTCGTGACTTGGGTTTAAGATATAGCAACAATTTGGACTTTTCTGAGCACATTGCATCTCAAGTATCCAAAGCTAGGAAGCTCATCGGATTCATAATGATAAACTTCAATAATTACGAATCAAGATTATTATTATTATAAAGAAAATGTATCTTACCCATTCTTGAATATGGTATTTGAGTTTACAGTAATTGCAGACATAATGACCTGATTAAAATTGAAGGTGTTCAAAGAAAGTTCACCAAAGCTGTTCTGGGGTATTCTGATAACAAAGACTATCACCAAAGATGTCAACAACTCAACTTAGAACCTCTTTGGATCAGACGTATCAAATTAAATCTTGTCTTTATCTACCGGCCTATTAACCGTATTTCCTGCTCTTCGGTATCCACCCCTTCATACTCTATGATATCATCCCACAGTCTACGCAGTAAGGAAAATATTCTAGCGATCCCAAGAACCCACACAAACTTACGCCAGAATTTTTTCGTTATTCGCTACTCAACGATGTGGAACAGACTGCCAGTGAACCTCCGTTGCAGTGAAACTGCAACCCGGTTCAGAAGTCTCCTTGGTGATTTTCTTTCTGATAGTGGTTAGTGTCACCTATTGAATATCAATGTATTTAATAATGATTTATACAAACAAGGTCCGTCATCCATCTAGTTGACTGAAAATCAAAGTGTAACCTTTGAAACTTTTCACGTCTATTTTATTTCATTTCCATTCATCTTAATATATGAAGTCTGCTCATGTTCGTATTTATAATTATTACTGTTATTAATATCATTATTGGTCGTCTGACACGAATGTTTATACTAATATCCGGTTTCACTCTGTATACTATTAAATAAATCTACATGTATTTATCCGAGTGCACCAAAGGGATTTTTTATCATATTCTATTTTTTAAATTGTTGGTTTACTTCAGAGGTCGATATTTATTACACAACTACTATTATTACCATGGTTTAACCATTCCACTAGGTGTCAACTTCTTTTCTCTCTCTCTGTCCCTTCTAAATATATATTATTCTCAAGATTGCGAAGTTTGTAATTAGGACCACAACTTGTGCTACATTTAAATTAACTTCTCAGACTCGTTTTATCTTCGCTATGTATATATGACTCATACATATTGATATTTCATTATCCTTTCCACTTAATTGAGACTTTCATAGCATCACTCCAAACGATGACTGCACGAACATTTATTCCAGAGTCATATCTTACTACAATAATAAGTTATTTTTTTAAATCGTTTTCTATTTTATTTTTGTTACTAATTTGACGATACATACATAGTCGTTTATTCTTGTTTTGTGTTCATAAACACGCCTATTAAACTATTTGCGTATTTCACGTCTCCTTTATTTCTATTCCCTCATTTTCTTCCTTTCTTTCTTTAAACTCAATTCAATATTCTTCTCAATTACACAGAACCTGGTTTATTTTTACTCTGTTATTATTACTCTCTTTTTCAAATATGGCAAATATAATGCTAACGTTATTGAGACTTGTGTATTATTGCATTCTTGAAAAAACCCGAAATGGTTTCTTCCCAACACTTATGTACTCATAAGATGTTTGTGAATAATAATAGCAACAATAGTAATAATCTGTCTACTACTCTCAGGCACCCTTGTTCTAATGGTCAAGGGAAAAATGTTATCAGGACATTGAAAACTGCTATTGATTCTATTGCCGCTTTAACATTTAATAGATTGGAGAGGACAGTAGATACATTTCTACTGCAATGTAGAGATACTAAACATTCTGTAAAGAAAGAGACGCCATCAAAGTTATTAGAAGCAAGAATTCTTCGTTCGAACATGAGGTGTTTGAAGTTTGCAGAAGTTACATATCAACGTGGAGACGAGCTTCCACCAGTCACGGGGATTTTGACGGAGAGTATTGGAAAATCTATGGTTCAAATTCTTGATAGCAATGAATCGAGCACACAAAACCAACATGTTGATTAAATACAAT